CAGTGTAACAAATAATACTAACTCAATGTAAAATTAGGTCCATATGGGTGCGTAATGCACCCATATGGATGACCTTACGCACCCATATGTATGACAGGGTCAATTCTCGTCCGATGCACCCATATGCATCCAATGTAAATTAGTTCGATGGTGGTTCAATTCTCATCGGTTTCTTGTGATCTTGTTAGATCATAGGATCACCCTTAAAATAGGTTAGAGTAGAAATAGGTGTAGATATTGACAATTGATAAAATAAAAGTAAAATTAGGTAATTAAAATAAAAGAAAAGGTGAACTTTTTGAGAGTCGTGACAAACATCACTGTCCTAAACCTAAAGTTGTGATGACTTCCCTACGTGCGGGTTTTGACGGTCACCCACGTAAGGCTCCAGGATGAAACCCAAACGCAGCTTTTTCCTTTTCAATATGCACGTACAGTGGAAGATCAATGTAGAACTAACCAATCTTATTGCCCAATTGATCTACTCTAATATGATGGTGGGGATCACAAGTACAAAACCTACTGCCTTGTTGATAAGCTATCACGCATTTGCTTGAATTTTCCGATGTCACGCCAAATTCTAAGCAGTCCCTGTTGATTATAACCAAGTTCGTTTGCAGATTCATCAAGTAAATAAGCTAAAGAAGGATGGTTGATAAGCTTTATAGGGATGGTCAGTCTCACCATTGCTTTATTACTTGTTCCCACTAGCAAAGGAACATAACCTTTCCTAACAGAACCTTCTATCCCTGCCTCATTGGTGCTTCTCAATCTTTCATAAGTGGGAGATGAGCTCTTTTCTCTTCCTCTCATTTTACTTCTTCTAATCTAACAAGATGTACTGCAAAAATGTTCTTACTTGTACCATATATAAAGCTCTTGAAATCTTGAAGAACATAATTAATTGAATGGACTTTAAATTACTTGGACTCGGGCAACTTCTGGGGAAGGATGTTAGGGGGTGCCCACCCATCGTTTTGTTTCATGTAATTAGAAGCTTATAGCTCTTTCCTACAGACCCAAAAAAGCATTAAGGATAATTGGTCAAGATGACTTTTTTAATAAAAAGGTCGTTTTCGATATTGACTCGAAGACGTATGTGTGGGCTATTTGTCAAACGTCGTATTGAGGTGTCCGGAGGCGTACTAATTACTAAATGACTGTTTCAAAGTCAGGGAGTTGGGAAAGGATAATAAACAATTGTGTAGCTAATGGTTTCAAGACATGACCGTTTTGATTTGAGAACAAAATCAGCCAAGTGGTGGATGCAAGTTATAGATGCATAATCGAATAAGAGGGAGAAGGAAAAGACGATATGCTTTATCATTTCCATTCCCTTGAGAATAATACATGGTAGAACATGTCTTTTACTATCTTCCCAGTCAAACAACAACTTGTAAGAAATCATTTGTCCAGTATTATTAAGCAATCAAATAGACAAAGTTGATGCTTTTCTATGCCTCTCTAATCTCTGTTGGACACCCTTAGCGGGTCTTGTTGTTTCAATGTGGCTTTCTTTTTCTGATTCTTGGAAATTTTTTCATTTTCTTAGCAAACAAAAGTTGAAGTTTTCCAAGAGTTTCTATTTGTTGAAGATATGTGATCTGATATTTTAGAAAGATTTGATATGGTAAATATTAGGAAAGATATGATTATAGTATCATGTAATAATTGGTAGTAGATTGATTTAGATTAGTATGATTTTAGGATCTAAATTAGGTCATACTTGTATATATATATATATATGTATATAGTGTAATCCAAATATATGAAGAAGAGTATTTTCTCTCCCTTTTTCTTAGTTTTCATGGTATCAGAGCCCTACCATCAAGGTTAGGGTTTCTGTCCGCTGCCAGAAAATTCATTAGTCATCATTCGGTTCATCTGGTTCTGTATAGGACATATCTGTATTCTATTCATCACTCTTGTTTTAAAGAGTTCAGATCTGTCCTTTTTTGTTTTTTTCTATTAATTTTAAACCCATTGCAGAAACGAAATCTATTGTTACGTCTGATGTGGTTCCTGTGATGTCTAAGATCACGGACCACAAACTCAACAATTCTAACTATCTTGATTGGAGCAAAACGATTCGTCTTTATCTGCGAAGCATTGATAAAGACAATCATCTAACTGATGATCCTCCAAAAGATGGTTCAAGACAGACATGGGTAAGGGAAGATGCTAGATTGTTCTTGCAAATACGGAATTCTATTGACAGTGAGGTAATTAGTTTAATTAATCACTGTAAATTTGTTAAGGAGTTAATGGAGTATTTAGAATTTTTGTATTCTGGTAAAGGAAATATTTCTCGCATACATGAGATATGTCAAGCCTTTTATCGTGCTGAGAAACAAGATAAGTCCATCATGACTTATTTTATGAATTTTAAGAAAACTTATGAGGAGCTTAATCTATTATTACCGTTTAGTTCTGATGTGAAAGTTCAGCAAACTCAATGGGAACAGAAGGCAATTATGAGTTTTTTGGCTAGTCTTTCACCTGAATTTGAATCTGCTAAATTTCAGATTCTTTTCAGTCCTGAGATCTCATCCTTGCAAGATGTGTTTAGTAGAGTGTTTCGCACAGAGAATACCCAGTCTGTTCAGTCCAGCAGTGCTCTTGTTGGTCTTGAAAAACAGCAATACAAAGGTGGTGATAAAGGAATTGAACTCGGGGACAGAATGCAGAAGTGGTTGTGTGTCACTATTATCATAAACCAGGTCATATGAAGCGTGATTGTGAGAAATTGCAGTACAGGAACCAGAGAACTCAATCAGCACATATTGCTTCTACCAATGATACTATTAACCATGAAAAGTCTGTTACGATCTTTGCAGATGAATTTGCTAAATTTTCTCAGTATCAAGAATCATTAAAGTCTTCATCTACTCCCGTAACTGCCATTGCTGAGTCAAGTAAACCAAACACATGTCTTGTGTCCTCGTCCTCCAAATAGGTAATTGATTCTGATGCCACAGATCATATGACAGGTAATTCTAGTATATTTTCTACCTTTCAACCACACATATCTGCACCTACAGTTACCTTAGTTGATAGGTCAAAATCTCGTGTTCTTAGATCAGACTCAGTTACCTCACTCCATTAATCTCATTGTCATCTATCTTAAGTTTACCTAAGTTGTCTTTTAATCTAATTTCTGTGAGTAAACTTACTCGTGCCCTCAATTGTTCTGCCCAATTCTTTCCTGACCATTGCTGTTTCAGGATCTTACGACGAAGCAGATTATTGGTAAAGGGTATGAATTTGGAGGTCTTTACATTCTTGACACACAGATACCAAAGTTCATAGCTTGTTCTGGAATTGTAACTCCATTTGAAGCACATTGTAGGCTGGGTCATCCTTCTCTCCCATTGTTAAAGATACTTTGTTCACAATTTCAGAGTTTGTCTTTATTAGATTGTGAGTCTTGTCAGTTTGTCAAATATCATTGTTTTAATCTGAGTCCTAGAGTCAATAAACGAGCGGATGCTCCTTTTGCATTAGTTCATTCAAATGTCTGGGGACCTAGTCCAGTCATTTCTAAAACTGGATTCAAGTATTTTGTTACTTTTGTCGATGACCGTTCTCGTATGAATTGGTTATATTTGATGAAAAATCGGTTAGAGTTGTTTTCTCATTTTTGTGGTTTTTGTGCTGAGTTTAAGACCCAATTTAAGCGTTCTGTACAAATATTGCGAAGTGACAATGCTAAAGAATATTTATTCGCACCTTTTCAATCTTATATGGTGCAAAATGGCATTATTCATCAAATCTCTTGTGTGGATACACCATCCCAAAACGGGGTCGCAGAACGAAAGAATAGACAATTGCTCGAAACTGCAAGAGCCTTATCATTTCAAATGCATGTTCTTAAACATTTTTGGGCTGATGCAGTGTCCACAGCTTGCTTTCTAATTAATCGTCTGCCTTCATCTATTCTGAATGGTGGGACTTTTTATAACACTTTTTTTCCAAATAGACCTTTGTTTCCCATCGAACCTAAAATCTTTGGGTGTACATGTTTTGTCCGCGGCTCTCGTCCCCAAGTCACTAAATTAGACCCTAAATCATTGAAATGTATTTTTCTTGGCTATTTCCGTATCCAAAAAGGATATAGATGTTATTGTTCTAGTCTCGACAGGTACATTGTGTCAATTGATGTTACTTTTCTTGAAAATACACTTTTTACCCCATCCTCATCTCATTCATGTCAGGAGGAGGATGATGATTTGTTAATCTATACTGTCACATCCTCAAGTTCTTCTCCTGCTAAACCTCCAATTACTCAGGTATATTCTCGACAACAAAAGCATCCTGATGCATGCCCTGAACCAGTTCCTTCGTTACTAGATCCTGTCTCAAGTGATGATCTTCCTATTGCTCTTCGCAAAGGTAAGCGCCAATGCACTTATCCCGTGTCTTCGTGTGTATCTTATAATCATTTACCCACCTCTTCTTGTTCCTTTATTACATCTATTGATTCTATCTCCCTTCATAAAACTGTTCATGAACCCCTATCCCATCCCGGATGGCGCAATGCTATGATAGAGGAGATGAATGCTCTAGGTGGTAATGATACTTGGAACTTAGTAAATTTACCTACAGGGAAGAAGGCCATTAGGAGTAAGTGGATTTTTACAGTTAAATTCAATCCTGATGGGTCGGTTGCTCGGTTAAAAGCTCGCATTGTTTCCAAAGGCTATGCCCAAATCTATGGAGAGGATTATTCTGACACTTTTTTCCCTGTTGCTAAGTTAACATTTGTCAGGTTATTCATTTCTATGGCAGCCACTCATAATTGGCCTTTGCATCAACTAGATATCAAGAATGCCTTTCTTCATGGAGACCTCCAAGAGGAAGTTTATATGGAGCAACCACCAGGATTTGTTGCTTAGGAGGAGTCTGGGAAGGTTTGTCATCTTTGGAAGTCCTTGTATGGACTGAAACAAAGTCCTCGTGCTTGGTTTGAAAAATTTAGTCTAGCAGTTGAAAGGTTTGGGATGCAGAAAAGCAAATCTGATCATTCTATTTTCTACAAACAGTCTGAAACTGGTATTATTTTGTTGGTAGTATATGTGGATGATATTGTTATCACTGGGAATGATGCTGCAAGTATTTCATCTCTTAAAACTTTTCTCCATAGTCAATTTCAGACAAAGAATTTGGGACTATTAAAGTATTTTTTGGGTATTGAGATAGCAAAGAGTAGGAAGGGGATATTCCTGTCCCAAAGAAAATATGTTCTTGACTTACTATCTGAAACGGAAAAATTGGGGGCTAAACCAGCTAGTATTCCAATGATTCCTAACTTGCAACTCACAAAAGAAGGTGAATTGTTTGAAAATCCTAGGAGGTATAGAAGATTGGTTGAAAAATTGAATTATCTTACAGTGACTCATTCAGATATCGCGTATTCAGTTAGTGTTGTTAGTCAATATATGTCTAATCCTACTATTAATCATTGGGCAGTTGTAAAACAAATTTTGTGTTATTTAAAAGGAGCTCCTGGACGTGGTATTCTATATAAAAATCATGGTCATACTAGGATTGAGTGTTTTTCAGATGCTGATTGGGCAGGATCCAAGGCAGATCGAAGATCTACAACTGGATTTTATGTCTTTGTTGGAGGATCTCATGGAAGAGTAAGAAGCAGAATGTTGTCTCGCGATCGAGTGCAGAGTCAGAATATAGACCTATGGCACAATCGATATGTGAAATCATGTGGATAAATCAACTCCTAACTGAAGTAGGTCTCAAAACCTCAATGCCTGCAAAATTGTGGTGTGATAACCAAGCGGCTCTTCATATTGCATCCAATCCCGTATTTCTTGAGCGAACAAAACACATCGAAATAGATTGTTATTTTGTTCGTGAGAAAATACATCAGGGCTTGATTTCTACAGGATTTGTAAGGACTGGAGAACAATTGAGAGATCTCTTTACAAAGGCTCTACATGGGGTTCGAGTTGATTACCTTTGTAACAAGTTGGGCATGAGCAACATCTATGCTCCAGCTTGAGGGGGAGTGTTGAAGATATGTGATCTGATATTATGGAAAGATTTGATATTGTAAATATTAGAAAAAATATGATTATAGTATCATGTATTAATTAAGTATCATATGATTATAATATCATGTATTAATTAGGTATTATATGATTATAGTATCATATAATAATTAGGTAGCAGATTGATTTAGATTAGTGATTTAGATTAGCATGATTTTAGGATCTAAATTAGGTTACACTTGTGTATATATATATATATATATATATATGTATATTGTGTAGTCCAAATATATGAAAAAGAGTATTTTCTCTCCCTTTTTCTTAGTTTTCACTTGTAAGAAATCATTTGTCTAGTATTATTAAGCATTCAAATAGACAAAGTTGATGCTTTTCTATGCCTCTTTAATCTCTGTTGAACACCCTTAGCGAGTCTTGTGGTTTCAATGTGGCTTTCTTTTTCTGATTCTTGGAAATTTTTTCATTTTCTTAGCAAACAAAAGTTGAAGTTTTCCAAGAGTTTCTATTGAAATGTTATGCTTATTAGTAGTTACCCTAGATTCTTAATTCTAATTTTGTACTCATTGTTGGAATAGTTTGTGAATTGAAATAGAAATAAAACTTGATAAATTCAAAATATTGGACAAAAGAAAAATGCTTAATGTAGCCTCTTGATGACCATTATAGTGAGGAAATAGTTTTGGTAATTTTTTTGTCCGTTGAAAGAGATTAATTGCAACCTCTTGATGATCATTATAATAAGAAAATAATTTTGGTATTTTTGCCCATTAAAGGAGACTAAAACAGCCTCTTGATGATCATTGAAGTGAGAAAATTGTGACTCTTTAGTTTTGATATCTTTTGGGTTGTCTTTTCTATATAAATGACAAGGTTTTAGTAAAACAAACTTAGCCATTTTAATCCCTTTTAGTAAAAGGCTTTTTGGTTTTGCTGTCAAAAGTTCTTCATTCTTGTTGTATTCTAGAGGTATATTGCCTTAACATAAAAGCAAACTATTAAGTGTAGTGGGAGCAATAAACACCTTAAGGATAGTGTTTGTACACACCTCAAGAATCATCAACAAATCCCCTTTCTTTTGTGAAATTTATTAATGAAGTTTCTACACTCTTCTATTATCTTGTTTTATTTTCCTAACAATCTTACGATGTTTATTGATTCTCTATCGAGTGCAATGGAGGCTCCAACTAGAAATGTTCTCAAGACCATAAGCCAAAATATTACCAAACTTGATAGGCTTGATAGAACAGGAACCAATTTCAATCGATGAAAGGATAAAATGTTATTCTTTCTCACTGCCCTCAAAGTGCCCTATGTGCTTGACCCAAGTCTTCAGCCAATTCCAGAGCCAAAGAATGGTGATTTTGAGGAGTTAAAGGCACAAAGGCATAAGTATGAAGATGACGAAGTATTATGTAGAGGCCATATCATGGATACTCTCTCATATAGGCTCTACAACATGTATACATCTGTCAAGTCGCCAAGGCAGATTTGGACCGCTTTGGAGTACAAGTATACTACTCAAAAGTAAGGTGCGGACAAATTTCTTATTAAAAAGTATTTTGACTTTGTTATTACTGAAGGTTCTTCTCTTCTTGATCAAGTGCATGATCTACAACTTTTGGTTTCAAAACTTAAAGATCTAGGTGTTGAGATTCTTGAATCATTCCAAGTGGGGGCAATATCAAAGTTGCTTCCTAGTTGGAATGATTATCGAAAGAAACTTCTACACACAACTGAATCGTTCTTGGTAGACCAAATGTTGAAGCATCCCCGTATAGAGGAGGATGCTAGGATTCTCCAAGAAAAAGAATTAGCATCTAGTCCTAAGGTGAACTATGTGGATCAGAGGAAGAATTACAACAATGGTCAAGAGTCTAAGAAGAGAAAATCTTCTAGACAAAATACTATAAGTGCAAAAGATAAGAAAGAATCAGATATGTTACAATTGTGGCAAGAAGGGGCATTCTAAGAAAGAGTGTGACCAAAATAAAAAACAAAAAAAAAAAGAATAATTCCCAAGCAAGTCTTGTTGAAAACAAAGACATTGCCGAGATTGCTACAATGGTGTCTGAGTGGAGAATGTCTATGATCTCCAAATTGAAAATAGCTTCATCTTTGTTGAATTCAAGTGATTCGTGATATGACTCCGGAGCAACTATACATGTGTGCAATAAGTCCATGTTCAAGACCTATGAAGATGCTCCCGGAGGACAGGTAGTTGTAATGGGCAATCATGACATCGACAAAGTGCATAGAAAAGGGGTTGTGGATTTACAATTCACTTTCGGCAAGAAATTAGTGCTCACTAATGTACTACATGTTCTGGACACGAGGAAGAATCTTGTATCAACTGATAGACTTAATAAAAGTGGTCTTAAAGTTGTACTTGAGTCTGACAAAATAATCTTGTCCAAAAGTGGTGTATTTGTAGAACAAGGTTATTCATGTGATAGAATGTTCAAATTGAGTATTAATAAGGTTTCTATTTCTATTTCTACTTATATGGTTGATTCTTCTTATTCTTTATGGCATGATGGGCTAGGACATTTTAGTAGTAAAACTTTACATTTTTTGTCCAAAAATTGCCTATAGTGATAAAGAAGAAAAGAAATGTGAAACTTGTGTTCAAACGAAACTGATAAGGTTGCCTTTTTCAAAGGATGAAAGAAATACAAAATTGCTTGAACTTGTTCATTCTGATGTATGTGAACTAAATGATTTTCTTACAAGAGGTGGTAATAGATATTTTATTATTTATTGATGATTGTTCAAGATTTGTTCATGTCTATTTTATGAAATGTAAAGATGAGTATTTTATGATGTTCAAATCTTACAAAATACTTGTTGAAAATCAATTATAAAAGAAAATCAAAATATTGAAAAGTGATAGAGAAGGTGAATATTTTCCTAGTGAATTATTAATGATTTGTGAACAAAATGGTATTTACACCAAACAAGTGCACCTTATACTCCACAACAAAATGGTTTGGCTGAAAGAAAAAATAGAACTTTGGAAGATATGGTTAATTCCATGTTGGTAAGTTCTAGATTGCCAAAGAATTTGTAGGGCGAAACTTTATTGGCTGCATGTCATATGCATAGTAAAATTCTTTCATTAAAAACAAAAGTCTCTTTATATGAGGTGTGGAGAGGGAAAAAACCAAACCTAAGTTATATTAGAGTTTGGGGTTGCATTACTTACTATAGGGTCCCGAACAATAAAAGAAATAAATTGGGACCAAGAGCACTTACAAATGTGTTTGTAGGTTATGCAGAAAATTCTAAAACTTATAGGCTGCTTGACATTAATTCTAATATTATAGTTGAATCAAGAGACATGTAACCTTTTTAGAATAAGTTTCTCAAAGATTCAAAACCTATTGTGGGTCCTACTAATGGTTCAAAACCACTCCAATTTATTGGTTCTTCTTCAAGTAATAAAAAGAAGGTAAGTAACACTCCTATTGAACTTTAGAGAAGTCAAAGACCAAGGAAAGAAAAACATCTATCCTCATATTTCACATCTTCACAAGTTATTGTTTTCTTAGTTGAAGCCAATAGGGAATCTCTACACAATAAGATTCCGATCTTGTTGAATGTAGAAGATGATCCAAAAACATTTAATGGATCTATGTCATCAAGAGATGCTTCTTTTTTGAGGGAAGTAATAAATGATGAATGGACTCATTATTGTCTAACAATACTTGGGTTCTAGTTGATTTACCTCAAAATTCAAAACCAATAGGTTTTAAATGGGTACTTAGAAGAAAATATGCAATGGATGGATCTTTACTAACCTTTAAAGCAAGGTTAGTAGCTAAAAAACTTAAACAAAAAGGAGGAATAGACTATTTTGATACTTATGCACCAATTGCAAGAATAATTTCCATTAGAGTGCTATTGTCCCTAGCTTCATTGTACAATTTGTTTGTACATCAAATGGATGTTAAAATAGCATTCTTAAATAGTGACTTGGTGAAGCGTTGTATATGGGGCAACCTGAAGGATTTGTTATGTCTCAAAATGAAAAGAAAGTATGCAAGTTAGTTAAATCATTATATAGCCTGAAGCAAGCACCTAAATAATAGCATGAGAAATTTGAATCTGTATTGCTCTTGAGTGGATTTAGGTACAATAATGCTAATATGTGCATTTATGAAAAATATGCTCAAGAGTATTGTGTGATCATTTGTCTTTGTGTAGATGATATAAAAGGTGTAGAAGATACTAAGAAGTAGAAGTGGCAAAATGGATATATGGTTAATAAATGGTTTTAGTTAAATGGATAGTGGATCAAATTGATCCAATCCAATTAAAATCATTTAATAAATGGATCTAAATGGATGTCATTTAAATCGATAGTATAAACCAAGATCCATCCATTTATCCATTTACTCTCCCAAATCCTAAATTTAAGATCCAAATGTTTTTTTTCAAAAAATACATATCCCTAAAGTTCTATCCTTAAATCACCTAAAACCTTTTGGTAATAACAAATGCTTGTACTACTACTCTATTTCAGTTCTTCATAAAATTAGTTTTGTTCCAAGAAAATTTAACTGCTGTGGTCAATTTAACCTTTCAACATTATTTTAAGTATCATTTTGTAAAGTAATGAACAATTAAGAACTTGGCTACATTTTTATAACTTTTGAATGAATTGAATACAGCTTTACAGTGAAAAGAAGTTTACGTTTCCAATT